CTTCATGTAATAACCATTCTTAGGGTTTGTCAAAGCTTCTTGCATGTACTTCTTAATAGGCATTGGTCCCTCAAGCTATTTAATAGAGTAAACGTTCTTTTAACCTGTCTAGTTCCCCGAATTTAATTCGCCAAGAAGAACTCCTATACTTTTATGGTCTGCCTGAGTTGTGCAGCTAATGGTGTCAATGTCTCTTTTTTCGTTGTAGTGGAATAATTTGCATTTTTTCGGGTTCGAAAGTATGATAAATGCTTCAAAGTTTGCGCCTTGAAAAAATGTCTCATGTTTTGCAGAGCATGTGCTAATCAAAAGGGTTCTTTTATATTGGTCGACGCTCAAATTTGTATCACGTTTTCTTATACTGAATAAGAGAGGAGGCCCAAATACTAACCAATACGAAATACGTAAGACCTTGAACAACATTATATAACGAGTCAGACTTGAAATATATACTGTATTTACGGTATCAATTCGCTATTTAAACAATCAATTCCTGGAGATTGAATCTTCCAGCAAACCACATAATAAAAACATTAAAGAGAAGAATTATTCTTTCTCCCTCCGTATTCTCCTTGCCAGAGAAAAGTAAAGTAATCCAATATTATTCATATTTTCTTTTTGCAGGTAGTATGAATTTTCTATTTGATCGTAAAGTATCGCCCCTGCTATTGGTGATCCCCTAGGAAAAGAAAAAAATCTTTTTTCAATTCGTCATTTATTTTATATACTCTCTCATCACTTGAAATTTATTTTACCATTCGTATCTTTGCTATATCTCTTTCAATTTCATTGTCTGTCAATTTTTTTGATGCGTGTTTCCCGGGGTCCTCTAAAAACTTTTCAACCAATGAAACCATATTAGAAGGATCTTCAAAAAACATTTAATAATATCGAAATGGAAGTGTGTACCTTAATATCTTTTTCCCCTTCTTCGCATCCACGTTAACTTAACTGACCGACTTCGTAATTTTCGTGATGGCAAAGTGTGCACATGACCTTTTATGTTATCATCTTGCACTAAGTCAATGCTAAACAGGGCCAAAAATAAAATAACAAACAAACAATAATCACCGCTAATATAGTCGTAGCTTCTAATACTTCTCCAAGTGATTTCTTTCGTGCTTCAATATTTTCTAATGAATTTTCTTTAATATTCTTTCGCTTTCGCTGTACGGCACCGGTCATAAATTAGGGTTTCGAAAATAGGAAAGCGCTTTCTATGCATATTTGTCAACTCAAGTAAAGCAATCAGTATGTACAGTACGTTACTTCAAAATTATTTTCTGTGCGTTGAATTTCAGCTTCT